GAAATTATTTTTTTATTAGAGGGGTGGCTCCCTCAGCGCTTGTCCTGAATCAACTTTTTTTACCACAGTTTATTATGAACCTCGTGTTAAATCTCTAAGTATTTTTATTTAGCCAATTTTATTCATTTAAAACCAAATAAAAACTAAAAACACTTAAAAATGTCAATCGCCTAAAAATAATACTAAAATCACTAAAATTTCTCAAAAATTATAAGTATACAGACAGAAAAAATAAAAATAAAAACCGCATATATTGCTTTGCTTAGAATCTAAAAGAACAAATTGTCAGTAAAATCGTTCACGTAAATAACTATATAAATATATTTTGAGTATTAACTTTTATATTAATCTTTCCATGGAATATACTTTATTCAATTGCATTCAATGTTTTTTGTTCTTTACGAACTGCAACACGAATACCAGACGTCCAGGAATAATATTTTGTAATAACAATGCTTTATCACCGGCACTACCTACACTACCATCTTTATTATACTTATATCGGTATTTTTCTTTTATACTTGAAGTGCTTATTTTTCACACTTTTTCAGGTATACTCTATTAATAACAGATGTTTCGTTCGTGAAATGTTTGGTAAAATTTGGCTTGTTAGAAATTTAAAATTTAATGGTCGCCATCTATTCGGTATAGTATTAACAAACGCATATAGCTGCGATAATTTACGCGACACTCAGTGACGGATATAATAGTTGTAAAATATTATAATGAAGTCGTATCCATCAACAAGTCGGTAAAATATAAAGCTGGGGTGCAAAATCGGAATTGCAAAAGTTTGTTTGCAGTTTTATATGCGAGTCGATAAAAAAAAAAAAAATGCATATAGTAACTCGTATTATACTCGTCTGACCTAATTATTTTAGATAATTGCTTATTGCACGTAAATGAACATAGGTACTTGCAACGTAAATAATATTTAGATGTGCACAGATAATAAATTACCTAGGCGTCTAGGTACCTATATGGTGTTAAGTATAGTTGTTTGCCGTTCAGACATTGGTAGCACAGTAACACTTGAATAAAAGGCATACGTTAATCCGTATTTATACCTATTAAATAATTACATATAGGATATCATATGCTTATGTAATAATATATAATACAGGGTCTTTCAAATTTTATGTTACCGGTTTAAGAGTAGAAGTAGGTACCTATATAAGTATAGTATATTCATATCTATTTATTCCTAATCACAAAACTGTAACGTGGAATTTGGATGACTGTATAATATATACATGAATAATAAAAAAGTATCGACATCACTCTATATTATTTAGTATTAACTAAACTTTAAGTTTATTCAAATGATATCCTAAATATAGGTACCTATAATATTTACAAGGGTTACTTTGATAATGCATTATATGAATCGATATCCGGGATATAGGTCTTATCAATAAAAAAAAACAAGACACTTAAATCTACTCTCGAGTCTACCACTGAGCTCGTTTGGATCGAGTAAATACCTATACTTTACACGTGATAAGCAAAAAAAAAAAATGATAAAATGTAATATAAAAAATGTCTATTTAATTGCTTCAATCGAGTAGGTATACATGGTTTTCTTTTAACAGATAATGGGATCAGTATGGGATTTATAATATTATTTTACCGTACGAATTTAATTTTTATTCTGATGTCATCTAATCAATAATAACAGTGTCTATGTAGTATTATAACCATAAGTATTTTATGTAGCTACTAACTATACCTCCCAGTGTCATAGGTATAGTTTTAAAAATAATTGTTACATGCGATTTGTAAATCTATAGGTATTCATTATCCTAATAAATAGATCAACTTATAAATAGAGTTTAGTCTATAGTTTACAACTATTACTTAGTTAACTTTTATACTATTTGAACCTATTTAGGTAGTTTTTAACCTTATAAGATAAAACCACATTCAATCGTAGGTAACCTACCTATCTATAACGGACACAGGTAATGGGTACTGCAGCACGTTTGTAAAAATTTAATTTATATAGCCATATATGTATATATATTGTATATAAATCTACTAAGAAGTTTATCACAATTAGATAGGTATTGTATAGGTACCTATAAGTATTTTATTATAGTATCTAAACCTTTTTTTTGTGAAAGTTGTTTAACTTAAAAGTTTTACTTTTCATAAATGAAACTCTACTTTTACGGTTTGCACATTAGCAAGAGTGTAAAGATAAAAGTTTGATAAGTACGTAGATAATTTAATTTATCAGACGATAATTTTTACGATTTTTTTTCGAAATTTGAATTATAAAAACCTATATTACTTTTCACTTATATCGTAAGATACCAAGGCCTTTATTGTCTCTACGATTATTTTTTACTGAATTACAACAATAAAAACAAAATAGACAATAACAGAATCCACTTTGATACATTTATCCGTTTTTACCCAATGTTAAAAAAATTAAGAGCTGATACTGAGAATGGGTGTGCTACTATTATAGATGGGCAACGGTGGTTGGAAATCACAACTTTAAACATAGTGCTTTACGGAAACTAATACACTGATATTGAATTAGTCAATAACTTTTTTTTTATTAATGAGTTGAGAGTTGATTTTTTTCTATTTGTAATCCAGTTTCATTATTTCAGTTTTTGAGAGATGGGCAAAAGTTTTCACCGGCCCATAATAAGACTGAAAAAAAAACCGCTCACTAAATTATACCTCACAATTACATTTTTATCTCAATACAAATGAAGTGTACAGGGAAAAAAAACAGAAAGGTCACTTTTTTTCAAACTGAGAAAAACCCCTTTTAATTTAAAAACGTAACAATTTTTTTATTTTACAAAGTAAAAAGCTCGGATTAAATTTAATGTTAAACATTGGAATTTAGTAACCACAACATAATAATATATTATATTATTAACCAAGGCCATAACCGTGTATTAACCGTGTAGCTACATAAACCAAAATATTTATTTGGTTATAAAATCGACTATCTGTTTTCTTTTCCTGTAGGCCTAAACTTCTGGCATTCATTACTTTCGATAAATCTGGGTTTTTCACCCATTTTGATCGCATAAAAGATACTGCACGTCATTACAAATTATTTAATATCAATATCGCCATTTTGGAAAAAAAAGTGACTTTTCTGGGTTTTTCCCTGTATCCTTCAAATATCCATATTATATAATTTTATGCTTTCCAACCTATTCCTAAATAATCAACCAATTTTTTTAAAAAGTTGTTCACAGGAAAAAAAAATTAAACATCATTGTAAAACCAAATCACTCTACTCAGAATCTAAAACTTTAGCAATATCAATCATATAACATAATGACATGAATCATGTTTGCATTCTTGCGGCCCAAAACTAAACAGACACCTGTAATCCATACCTGGTCGATAACGGTCCACTGATGACAAGGGGGGATCAAATGCCTTCCCTGCCTCTCCTCAAATTACGTTACTATTTGTAACAATAACAAACTACTAAAACGTTCTTAGTCCTTAGTTGTCCGCAGGTAAGTTTTCAAACCCCGTAAACATGAAAAACTTTTACACGACGCAATATTCGTAGGAATTTAGCAACAATTGGCAGCACGAAAATGATAGAGAATATAAATGTAGGTACCTAAAATTATTTATAATACTTACGACGATAATTGCTAACTATTTCATAACGTTATATACCTATTTTATCATTAGTTCAGTTTTGTTTTCTTTTATCAAAAAAAATTCAGCAAAACAATAAAATAGAATTATATTTGCATAGAATTTGAATTTTGAGTTCAGTTTCAGCAGGAACAAAAGCATATCTTTGCATCTGCTATAATTTGCCAGAGGGTGTAAGTGCAAATTTTTACGCTCCCGTAATTACGCCATTGGCATTACAACTATCACTACATTTCTAAAAAAAAAGGATTTCCTACAATCATCGATACTTTTTTTATAAGGGTAAGGCTTTACAAAGTTCACTTTTTTTTTTTACAAAACAGTGCGTTAAACTTTTTCGGACTTATAAAAGGGAATATTTAGATTCGGAGCGTAGCGAGGAATTTATTGGTTTTACTATGTGTTTTTTTTGTGTCTATGAGCAACTTTTCTACCAACAATCTTGCTTCGAAGTACCTTTGGTTTTTGATTTTCTTGGTAGAACACATGTAACCTAGTGTCCTCCTTCATTTAAGGTATGCAACTACTAGTAGACAATTATCATTGAATAAGTTGTCGGGTAACAAGGTTTTTTTTTTCAAGTAAATAAGTAGGTACCTGACTATTTAATAATTATTAGCCATTAGGACAGTTATTTATACACCCTAAAAATCTTTGTATTTATAGATATATACTAAAAATAACAAAGTAATAAAGAATTATATGTACCCTAAAAAAAAAATAACAATTTACTTAATTGAAAATTTAGTTCATTGATAAAAACAATTGTATTTTATTATCATTATTTAGTAATAAATATTTCATCAAAACCACGAGTAACTACTAATGTTATCAACTCAACTGATGTTATTTACGAGTCTTGAACAATTATTTGAGTTTCAATTTTTTGCACCCCTTTCCAGTCCACTAGGGACAGATTTAGGTGAAGTTGGTTTTATAATTATTTCTTAAGAATATTTATTTAAGTCACATATGACAATATTTATATAGGTACTTTCTATTTGTAAAACACAATTCTATATGATAGTACCTCCTGGATTTGATTGTTTTTATGTAGTAAGTAGAAAATATAAAATGCTATTTAATAAGCAAAACATAATATATTTGTTTATTTGTTTGGAATAGTGGAGCCCTACACAATATATTCCACCCAAAGGACACCACATACCCTAAATCTGCCTCTGGATTATGAATAAAGTAATAAAGAATGATTGAAATTTATCGGCATAATAAGAACACCTACAATAGGCACATCAAAACAATATTATCCCGACATAAATAGAAATACAAATAATTTTTATTAATTAAAAAACATAGATACAAGTATTATATACAAATAATTTTATTAATTTTCCTGAATGTGACGTTTAATATATTTCAAATAATATAATAAATAATAATTACATAGTTTTTTCATTTTCAAAATGTTCAATCAACTCCCATAAAAAAAAAAAAAGAAAACATTAAGACTAAAACGATATCTTTATTTAATCATATTATCATACATTAATATATAGACCAGAGGCTACATACATAGCCCCTTTCGACTATTTGACTATATTAACAAATAAATAATCAAAACAAAATATTCACAGTTTTTATTAATACTAAGATACATTTCTAAAAAGAAATAAAAATTCAAAATGCACCTTGTTTCGTTTATATATCATACACAATGTACATTTTTTTTTCCGTTTGGTTTTTTTTTTGTATAATCAAAAATTAGTTATGTCGAAAATGTCCACTCGACACAGCAATAAAAAATACCAAAATTATCATTATAGAATTGCTACGAAGGGGCGGCATAGGTAGGTATATCATAATGTAATATACAATACAATTTGTTTAGAAAACAAAAATAAAAAAAAGAAGATTAATAATATACACAAAATGGGAAAGGAAAAAAATATGCATTAAGTTGAAAGATAAAATCCTTAGACATCAGATAATTGCAGTTCATTGAGTTCATAATATACTTATTTATAATATCTCATGAACAAGAAGTCATTTTGTACAGTACATTTTTATTAGGTAAGTTGCAATATGTTCTAAAGGACGAAATTGATACACAAAAAAAAAAAATTACAACTTACTAATATTAATATAATCACTAACATAAAAGGTTAGAGAAAAATAGATATTTATATAATATAATTACAATTAAATAAATATTTATCCCAACATAATACATGCATACAAATATATAAGTATAATATTAGACACAATATAATATATAATATTATATAAATATATTTTTCTTAAAAGAGTGAAATATAAATGAGATTTTAAATACAATAGTATATTCTTTGTTGGTATCTTGTTTGGTTATATTATTAATCTTTGCATTTTGTTTACCAATTACTTTATGGTTGCCAATATATAACACCAGTACATAATATTAAGTGAAAACATTTTGGTTGGATCTTATCACGTTCTTTTATTATAATGAACTAATTTATTCAGGGACAGCTGTTGTTAGGTAAAGTTTGTTTTACTTATTTACCTAGTTAATTCATTGCAAAGCCTTTGTTATAATATATACAGGTATATTATAAATTAATAGAGTTAATTATGATAAGAAATGTAATTATTTATGACATTTTAGATAAAAATTATTTTTTATCAGTCCATTATATATTTACGAACACTAAAACATTTACAATTAAATAAAAATTGATTAATCTATGAAATTCCTAATAGGTTCAATTATGATACTATTTCGTGCAAACTGTGGGTTATGATCAATATAACATGTTTTCAAACTTTATTCTAAAATCAAATTTTGGACTGTAATATTTAATTCAAGATAAGTTCTTTAACAATTTCCATTAAGCCTTAGTCCTTAAGTTTAATCCCTACTGGTTGTTAATAAACATAGATAACAATTGAAAAATTTTTTTTTATTTTTTACATTTTTTTTTAACAAGTATTGCAATTATTCACTGACAGAAATAACTCTAACAAAGTTGACGAAAAAATCTATCAAAATGGAAAAGACAAAAAAAAATAAAAACAATAACAAAAGATGACAATCTAATGAACCCTAAAACATTGACCGACACACGCACACAAGTTAAAATTAAGGAACGAATTTGAGCCAAATCACATCATAATATTAGTTGTATACAATTTGTGTGTTATCCTTTGGCACATTTTGTTCTAAGCTTAAAAATGTCTCAAGACTTACACGGGACATTAAACCATTATATATAAAATAATATTACAGTACACATAATACTTGTATGAACATTTAATGAGGACTGGAAAAATAATTTATATAAATGTATATTTTTTTTTTATATATAGTGTGTTATATAGGAATTGTATTGATTTTAAAAGTGTCATTATTGTGTATCAAATATTAACTTTAACAAAAAAAAGTTGTAAGGGTCATACTTTAATAAAATTGTAAAATTAAAATAATTAAATTTCAATAATTATTAAAAAACAAACAAAAGTTATTTTATAACATACTTTTAGTACTATTGAAGTAATTGGTATATTAATAATAATAATAATAATAATAATAATAATAATAATAATAATAATAATAATATTAATAATAATAATAAACAAATTAAATATAATAATTTTACTACAAGCAAATAATATCAAGTCTACTCTCATAAAATTTTCTTTAAATAATTGAATATCTTAAAAAATGTATATGTATTTAATATTATATAACAAAGAACAAGGAAATAATATAAATAGTGAGGTTTTGTTATTTTTGCATAATTGTAAAGAAGAAAATAAATAAACATATTAAAAGAATTGAGAGGATCACTTTCATAATATATGTATAAGTATACATTTAATATGTATTTGTCTTCGTAAAATTATACATTTGAAATATTAATAAATATGATTTGACAATTTTTTTTTTTTTTTGTTATACACATTAAATTCCAACAAAAATTTTAAATTTATAAAAAAAAAAAACAAAGATAAAACTTTTAATTATATTATTAATGAACATAAATAATAATAAAAACCCAAACATTTGATTTTAATTTTAATTTTTTTTTGTTGTCTCAGTATAAATATTTTACTCAAATTTATGTTCAATGATTTTTCAAAACAAATTATGATTATTTGTATATATCATCTGCTCAAATAATAAATAACTTTAGAGGTTGATAACTAATCACATTTAAATACAAACACTTAATTTTTAATATTTTTAGTATTCTAATTGAAAAGGGGTATTATATTGTTTTAGCATATTTAAAATCAAATTATGTTCAATAATTAAGCAAAATGTTTTCTCAATAATACTATTACTACACTAATATATTTGCTTATCTTAATGTATTACATTAATTTCTATTTTATAATAAACACTTTAAACTCTACTAATGTGTAATAAACTAAATATAGAAATCGAATGAAAAAGTGTTAAAATAAATAAAACTGACATAATCTATGCAGTTTCAGAACGCATATTTTAGAATATTATACTTATTAATTAAATATAATAGACCTAAGAAGTTGCTATTTTCTAAATTTATTTCATAATAATTACAATAGTGAGTAATATTTGTGGAATTTGTTAATAGTTTTAATCTGTTTTAATTGGATACATATTTGGGGAGGGGGGGGAGTCAATGTTAAAACAATTGTGAAAAAATGATTCTTATAGATTTTTAAACCAAAACAGTTGTGAAACACAGTGATTTTTGTATCAAATCTTAATTATGATTTATTACATACATTTGTTACCTTAAAAATTCCATACATTTTTTTGGAGTGTCCAATTTAAGTTATATCATTGATTATAAATATTTATATTTATAATCAATAGTCATATGTAATAATTTGACCAATATAACATTAACATTGCATTTATATATAGTCTTGATTTTGCAGTTTTTGAAATAATTTCTATACCTGAGGTAACTGATTTAATTGCACAAACCCAGTTAAAATGTATATAATAATCACAATACTTTTGGACACATCATAAATCAACCGATAGGAACCCACGAACCATTTGAACAAATAAAATACCAATGTACACGAAAACAAAAATTACTTAGGAGGATAAATATTGGTAACGTGAAAATATTGTATTACTCTAATAATATAACAATAATATTGGTTGAGCAAAAAGATGACATTGAACAAATTCGAGTTAAAATCGCAAAATTTACGATATCGCCAATCATTTGGAGAATAGTTTTAATGAACAGAAGTAGAAGTTTTTAAAAAGAAAAAATATAAATTTTGTATAAGATTCTAATGTGCCATTGTATACGAAGATAGTAAATTTAATACTCTGTGGTAACTTCAGCGTATTATTTCATACTGATAATTAAAAAAAAAATATACGTATTATATAATATAATATATAGGTATTAAAATAAAGTAGAGTATTTACAATTTAATTAATCGAATTTAGGATATAAAATAAAAATGTAATATGATTATTGGGTAGATAAAAGATAAATATTATGAGATAATAACTCAAACTATTCTCTTAGTTGCATACAAGTCAATGAACCGTTCCCTGAATATATAACCAAGTATTATAATATTTACAATTAATATTATTATAAACAATAATTGATAAAAGAGATTACAATGCGATGGTTGAACAAAAATCTGAGAAAATATCGCAGTCTTTTACAGCGTTTCCGCGAGGAGTTTAATAGTTACCACCGCCATATCCAATGTCCATACGATTTACAGATAAATAACCACCACTTGACTGGATATAGGGTGAAACTCCATTACCACTATTATTATTACCATATGAGGACATTGAGTTTTGAGGTGGATAAGGGAAATTCGGTGTTGGCATATGTATGTTATGTGTATTATGTGCATATCCATTTCCAGGTGGTCCTAACCCACCGTTAAATTGCATTGAGCTGGCATACTGATTATTGTATGGCTGTTGGTACTGCTGCTGTAATCTATCCATATCCATCATAACACCACCAGAATGATGATGGTTATAATTTATTGGAGGTGGTGGTGGTGGGTACGAGGATGTCAAGTTGCTGACAGAAAATGTTGATGGTTGTGACATCGAGACTTGTTGTTGATGATGATGATTACCACCATTTGTTAATGAGCTGACTGAAAAATTATTCATATTTCCTTGTGACGTACAAGGTGATGTTGAATAAGAATAATTTAAAGAAGGGGAGCACGAATAATCATTTGGCATATAACCTGAATTGGATTCATCCATATACTGATGATGATGATGTCCACCATGCTGAACATCATTATCATTCATATTAGGAATTTGTTCAACCAAAGACTCTAAGCCAGATAGACTTTTTGCTGTCACATCTTGACTATTTGTAATCTTTTGTTGATGTTGATGTTGTTGTTGAGGGTATCCTGTAGGTGGAGGAGGATACACAGGAGACTCTGCTGGTGGATATGCTGGCGATCCTGCTACAGAATCAACATTGGCTGAGTATTCATCATAAACATGTGGTGGAGGATAATGATGCATATCAATCTTTGTATTGGTTTTCTGTGGTTGTTGAGGTCCACCGACAGAGTTATTAAACTGGCATTCCATTTGTGAAGGTCTAGAGTGTTGATCAACACTGATTAGATCTTCTTTGGTCACTCCGCTACTATGTTGACTGCTATGCGGACTATTATCTTCGGCTAGCAGACTAGCTGGTGGTTCGAAATCGGGTGGTCCCAAACTAGGAGATGCTGGAGATCGTGATCCTAAATTATGTTCTGAAGAAATAGCTGCACTAATTTCCGATGACAAATCAGAGTGGGTAAAAGAAGGAGCTTGTGGTGACTGAGAGTACCTGTGTTGTTGTGATTGAATAGGTGAACGGTGATGATGAAAATTTGGATTGTTTCCACTGCTACCACCACCATTGGTACCACCACCTCCACTTCCTCCACCACCACCACTATTAGATATAGGAGAATGCGAAGAGCTCTGGTTGTTGTATATATTATTTATAACGTTATTGCCACCATATAACTGTGATAAGTTCATTGGAGACTGAGTTGGTGGCGAGAAACAATTTGATAATTGGGTTGATGGGTTACTGTGTTCACAAGACAACACTGGTGGCACTATACTATTTGCTGGTGGTAACTGATTTGGATCTGGTTTAATTTTTTTCGGCCTCCCTCTTTTCTTTTTAGGCATTCCTTCTCGGTTTTCAACTACTGGAGGTTTAGGGCGTTTAACTTTCACTTCTTCAGGTGCACCATCTTTATTTTTTATTTTTTTTGGTCTTCCTCGTTTCTTTTTTTGCACTACAGGTGGTTCATCTTTGACATCAACAATACTTTCTACTGTTTCTTGATTATCAACTACAGAATTATAATTATTAAAATATACTGATGCCACTTCATCTTTAGGTTCATCTTTGATATCTGGCTCGTAATAATTTTTTAATTTGGTAAATGAGAATACAACTTCGCTATCATCAATTTCAGCAACTAGGCCATTTAAATAATCTCGAAATTTCTTTAATGCTGCATAAAATGGTACCTTATCTGCAGCTCTTGGCAATTGAGCACATCGAGCACTAGATGATGGCATAACCCACATGTACTAAAAATCATTACACATAATATAAATTAATAAACAATATAAACCTATTTAAATATAATATATTTTCAAATACAATTTTATTAAATGTTAAATAATTAGAGCAGCTGTAAACAAATTAAATTATAAATTACTTGAGGTAATTTTTGTACACTGAGCATTTTACCAAAAAGTAATTTTGTCATGGAACTATAAATTTTTATACCTACTAAATGATTACATAAAAATACAATACAATTTACAACAAAATGTAGATAATCATCAATGCTAATATAAATATAGTACTGATGATAACAACAATATTGTTTATGCTGAAATGTGTTTCAGTGTTTTGTTTGATTATTTAAAAAAAATTGAAGTTAAAATAAATTTAATCACATTTTTTTTATTTAACTCATCAAATATTTAAAAATTGTGTGGCAATTATAAGTACTTAACCAAAAATATAATTAAATCATTACATCAGTACTAATTTTATGTAAACCTTGATTAGAAATGTTGTATTTTATAACAAGTATTATTAATAATCACAAGGCTATTTTTATTATTTAATTATAATTTAATTAATTTATATCTCATAAAACAAAATGAAAAAAGTTGGTGAATTCTCCAATATTTAATTTAACAAGTTGACAATGTATATCAGTGAAAAAGAAATATACATATAAATATACACATATTTAAACCCTAAAAATAAATTGTTTTAACCAGTTGATAACAAAAAATCTAATAGGACAATATTTAGATGCTAACTGAGAAGCAATTTGATCTAAAGACTCTACAAAAATGACAGTAATGAGGGACAAGATAATAGCTCCTCATAGTCCACCAAATAAAAATTCTATGGTCGAAAATGACCTTCATGACAGCCAACATGTTTAAAAGTTAAGTATTTTAATAATATTGTATGTTAATTAAATGTTAAACATAAAATTTGCAAGATCATGATACAAACATATTTATAAATGAAAATATATATATTAATTATATAATTAAGATTTAAATTATAAATTATTTCTCACTGTATTTGTTCCATCTACGAGTTCTGGTTGACGACCAAATGTGAAATCTTTTTTACCAGAAAAAACTTCGAAAATAAGTTTCCCATTAAATACTGCAATTTTTGGTTTAAACCGCTGTAATTTTTCCAAAAGAATCTGACTTCCTAAAAGGTAAAAAATAATTAATGTAATTTAATAAAAATTGTACACAAATTGTCCCCAAATATACAATAGTATAAAGTGGTTTTTAAAACAAATGACCTAACAACAATTCAATAACTAAGCATTATTATGAGTTAGTGAATTTTGATTATAAATAAATATAGTTTATAATAAGTTATTTTATATATTAAAACTGTATTATAAATTTACTAGCAAAATTATTTTGCTGACTGCATGAATTAGGCAGCTCTTTTTCTGTGGAATGCAAGAAATACAACAATACATTTTTCGTGCTATACTATTAATGTGGTCATTGAATGACCAGAATTTAAAATTATTTTAACAATCATATAAATTAAATTTTTTGCATAATGTTATATTTACTTTAACTATATATTACTAATAATAATAATAAGGTAGTATAAAATATTTTATCTTATTGATGTTACTGGTTTTCTATTACCTAAATAAACCATATAGGTACCTACTGTCAATATTATATATTGTTTAATATTTAGTCATTTAAGTCGGTTTTACACAGTGAACAGTGCATTCAAATATTTTTTATAAGTATACTTATTCTATAAATATTATTAATTAATCACGGATTCACAGAGGATGGTTCAAAAAGAAAAAGAAGCAATTCAAATATTAAAAAAATATTAATTATAAGGAAACATAGGCGATATTATCATGTCATTGATAAATTTGAATTAATTGAGGTAGCTAGATGCTCGATTATCAAAGAATTATGGTAGCAATTGAAAATTTTACTAATATTATTTGTGACATTCATGAGGCCAGGGGACATAAAGGGGAGACAAAAAAGAACAAGAAAATAAAGGAAAACTACTCCAATATCCTATTAATAGCTGCTGTAAATAATTTCATTGCCAATTTCAACAGTTATATAGAGAAATCAATCAAAAAAAAGGTAGGAGGCGTTGTTGCCTGTTATACTGCCTATTTTAGCTTCCTCCCATGAATAAGCAAGGGCAAGTGGACCTTATTAACTTTCATAGTTTACCTGATGGCCATTTTAAATACATTCTTCATAACAAAGACCACTTGACTAAGTTTTTATTATATTGACCTTTGAAGTTACAAAAGAATTATTGAACATATTTATGTTTTTTGGTGCACCAAGTGAATAGAATGGAATTTTTTTTTTAATGACCAATTTTCTTAATTCAATGCATCAATTTAGTTTAAATTGAAAAGTTAGGTTAGGTTTAAACTAAAGGTAATGCCTATTTCAAAAAAATTAATGACAATATTTTTTTCAGAATTTTTATTACCAATCATTTATTAGGACATAGATTTTAATACAGTTCAAATATAAATTATTGATTATATTCTGGTATAAAAATGCTAAATATTAAAATGAGATTAAGTACAAAATAGATTTTTTAAAAATTGTAAAATTTACTAAAAAATGTAAAATTTATTTTACTATATATTATAAAATTATACTAAAATGTTTCAAATATAAACATTTAACTCATTTTGATATACTTGTACAACAGAAGAATGTACTAAATAATATGAATAATAAATTTAGGACACTAAAAGTTTCAAAAGTAGTAATTTAATATATTATACAATATCACAAAGTTGTAAGTTTAAAGCAAGTATGTCACATCATTTTAATTATATATTTGTTTAAGTTAAAGGCTTATTTTAATTTCAGTAATTATTATTTTTTTATTGATTTTTATAAGCTACAGGATAACTTATGCACCATTTAAGTAATATGAATAATACATAATAATAAATATTGTTGATTTTAAGACTAGTACTATGCTATAGACAGTCAGTCACATTTCATTATTCTATAAAAAGATAGACTTATTACAAACATGAAAACAAACCTTCTTTAATTTCTTTTCTTGTGAGATCAGCACTGCCCTTGGTAGCTCGCTCTACCATATTAGTAAAACCAATACCATTTTGAAGTAGTTTGTAATCATCATCAGCAGTCATTGGTTCTGGTGTAAGACCAGCTAGATATAAACATTTCCCTAAGAATAAAAATATAAAATTATAAACAGTTATCACAAAAAATATAATTAAGTTTTACTTACAAAAATGATTTCCAGGGCCTGCATAATGATGACCTTTATAAGCAGCGAATAAACCAGGATTTATACCAATCTGGAAATGTATAATTCCAATCAATAAAATGTATTATTTGATATTTTCTTAAATAAATAAATTAACAATTACAAATTATTTTAAAGAAATTTTGTATAATATATTTAATGTCATATCTACATCTCATAACATATAACATATACCAAAAAATAAATGTTATAATAATATTCATGTTCATACCAAATTGAAATATGTTATTATATTAATCTGTTATTGACATAATAACAGCAGTAATATGTGTGATTTTAACATTAAATAAATTTAAAAAAAACTAAATGAAGGTTTACCCTTCATTATTTAATAGAAAAAAGTATAGTGATAATGATCTTTTAAGTGATGTAATGATTCCTTATCGAAAAAAGCTTAGAAAAACTACTTTTTTAAAAAGTGACATATTTTTATGAAAGAACATACAAATAAAACTTAAAATGCATAATTTAGGAACTTCTATTTCATTTAATTAAACTAAAAATTTTTTTTTAAATATTTATTAATGAGCAGTCCATATTTATAAGTAATAATTTGGAACTCAAGACCGATCATCATGTTGTATGTTATCTACTTCTCAGATGATGAATGTTGGTTGGACATTGATGGTGTACTGTTGTCCTAAGTATGTATAGGGTACCAAACCCAATTTCTAGATAAACTAGTTTATCTTTTTTACCAGATGTGTTTAGCCTTTAAAACACTGATATACATGTATATGTATATAAATTGTATGGTTTAACCAATAACAGATACAGAACATTAAATATACTACGTTGAGGGAAAGGAAGGTAACATTTTGTGTCAAAGAATTAAGTTGTTTTCAGACTCAAATCTTCCCCTCCCCCAAAAGGGATGGTGTAGATTGCGGTTGCAGTAGATATGTTTTCAGTGTTAATTAATAACTTTTAAAAAGAAATGTATCTCATATTATAGTTTATATTTAAATGTAATTAAATAATGCATATTTTAAAAAAGTCTATTTTTATTGCACCACTCTTCTAGAATTGTATAAATAATTGTAGAGTTTAAGATAATTTGAGATTTATTCATTTGTCAAATTTTTTAAACTAAAATAAATAAATAAACTTAATTAATTAATTAATTTTCTCAGTAGTTTGAAATGTTATTTGTTATTTGATTTTCTAGCACTATTTACTGTCCATTGAAGAATATAATACTATATAATCAAGGTCATTTTTATAGGATTTGTATAACAAGTAATTTAACTTTGTTAAATAACACTGTTACTTAGGTGTAGATGCGGCATAATATAATAATTATATTATATATGTAGGTATCTAATAATGAAGTTTAAAAAGACTAAATTAAAAATTCTCAAAAAAAAGTTTAAACATGACAATTAGATTATATTATACTCACAATTACAATATCCAAATTATTGGTTAAATGGTCGGGTAAAGTGCGCTTTGAAACTTCTTCTTCGGGCATACCATTGAATCTATCGTGTTTCTTTCTCTCCTTATACACTTTGGCAGGATTTAACATTTTATCTTTTGGCAACATATGTTGCATTAATCCAAATGCTTGATCAGGATTTAAACATTGTAAACTAAAGATACATCATTAACCAGTTTAGATACAAAACTACATAACAATAATATTAATTATATATATATATCAACTTTACTTCATTTGATCCTCTGGTTTAAACTTTTTCTTTCTGCCTCGCTTTTTTGGCAAATGTTGTAACATCATTTCTTCAGTGTACTGCATGTTCTGTTGACCATGATGTTGCATTTCTTCATCTACAAAACTGTATGGATCATCAGGCATTTCATACTTAATCTGGTGTTGTTGCATGTTGTTCATTTGATGATGGTGGTGAGGATGTCCGTGGTGGTGTGGATGCATGTGTGCAGTCATATGTTGCTGTTGATGATGGTGCATCGGAGGTAACTGGTTCATGATATTACTATGATGCTGAGCTGCAGCTGCTGCTGCTGCTGCTGCTGCAACAGCTACTGCGGCAGAATGTTTGGCAGCGGCTTGTTCGGCATCAGTACCACCACCACTCGTTTCGTATCCATCATCAGCACAAGTAGGTTCTTGTTTCACAGAAGGTGCTTGCTGAGTTGCTCCATTATTAATATCACACCCACCATAATTGTTAGACCTGTTAACACAATACATAGAATGAATAACTTAATATTTATTTGAATTGAGAATCTTAACTGGAAGTACTTTTGAATTGAAAAATATAAATATAAATTTTAATTAAACTAGGTACTACATTTAAATTGATACTCATTGATTAATGCATTTAAAAGGCATAATCTACAACTTTTACAAAAAAAAAAAAAATTTGACAGTAGTTTTTTTTTTATTATATGCGTTTTAAGTTATATTCTGACGGAAATTGTAAAAACAACACCATTTCAAAATACTGAAGAAAATATCTGAGTTTGTCTCAGAATCGTACTTTGTCAATAATGATTTACCGTAGTGTACATTTTTATTTTCCCAAATACCCACCTATAACAGGTGCAAACCCATAAACAGTAACAGATTTATATTTTTTTAATATACCTATATGTTTAAATTATAATATAGGTACCTAGTTTAATAGACGTACAAGAGAGGGGAAACCAAAAAAGAGGAGGTTGGATGTGATTGAGAATGGCGGATGTAGAGGATTGGAAGGTAAAGATCAGACAAGTAGCGATTTTAAGACGAGGGTGGCCGAACCCAAATAGTTGGGATGAAGACGAAAGAGAAGTAGAAGTAGAATATTAAACATAATACAATATAGTATATCGTACCTTCGTGGTATAAGTAATGATAAATTAACTTTTACAAATAAAACAGCTTTAATTTTTTTCATTCGCAGATGCATAATACATGATAGGAAAAATAAAATATTTAAGACTGAGACTTTTTAAAATTCAAATTAAAAATATGACGTACGAGTAGTATATTGGTACTTGTATGATTTAAATTTATAATTAAGTTCAAGGAATCTTAAAAAACGCTCATTGTTAATGTAATAAACAAACGTGTATTCAAATGTTCCTTTGACAAAGGTTATTAATTTATATTGTAATACAGTGTCATGCCTAGCTAAATTGTCACTTGGTGCCAGAAAAAATTATTGATGAGCATAAAAAACAAATTAAAAACGCTTTGGGCGTTCACTCATACGTTTAATGTAAAAATATTCAATTACAGAGCTTGACAAATTTTCATTAACGTGCCTGCGGTGATCAAAGCGCCCGCTCGCACCCCCCTAACACACCGCCTTGTGGCAATACATTATTTTGATATTTCTATGATTCATTATTTATTTAAGTATTTTCTGTACCTAATCAATCATTATTATTAAATACATCGTGGACGTCATAAATCTCACAAAAATCCAATATTAATGTAAATAGTGATGAGTTAGGACAGAAGTTTACCTTGCAAAAATAAAAACAATAACCAACTTGTGTACGAAATAATATGTTTGTATTTGGAGTACTTACGCGGACAAATAGCCGAAATTCATTATAGTCCAAAATCAGCAATAGTCCGAGTCTCAATATTCGGGTAACTGGTAATTTGTTTGTAATTGGAATAATAACCGGACTACCGGAGTACGCAAGTGATTCAGCGCCATATTCTAGCCAAACGTGAAAACGTGGAATTTTAATCAGAGTTTGTAATGAAAATATGATAACCGACCGTCATTGGCCGATTATCGACGATCGGTTTTTTCGGTAAACAGAATTTCAATTTGAAAATAGGCTGATACACCGTCTTTGTTTGCGCGTCGATATTTATTAATATGCCGCGTATCGATAAATTACGGGCTAGGCTATTCGTATCGAATGTAACGGATACGAGAAACCCGGACAATTTAAAATAAAAATTTCGAATATATTAATTCATAATAACAAGTTATTGTTATAAAATCGTAATGATATTATCGGAGTAACAAAATATTACGTATACGGGGATAATAAACAGTGTTTTAATTGTTGACGAGAACGTCATATTTTTCGGGTTGTAATATTATTTGCGGAACATCTAAGGTAAATATTATTATTATTAACTGGTATCCGGTGTTATTATTTTTCGTTCTCCCACCCTCCCGCCGCCACCGCTCGGAGTTTGTTCGGCAACGGTTAAATCACGGACGAATTTCTTTAGATTTTGTTTCGTCCGGAAAAGTTTGCCGCCCGGTCACCGTAGTCAGACGGCGACGGGTTTTAACGTATTATACGGGTTTTATGCGCAAACCTATTGCACAGACACGCGACGAGCGTGCGCGCGTGTGACGGCACGCGGCGGGTCCGGCGGCGTAGGGAATAAGAAAGAGGGAGATTAGCAAAACCGAGGGCGGCGGTGTGTGTGCGGTGGGTGAGGGTGAGGGGGCGGTCTGCGGCGGCGGCGCGCGGTAGGGGTGTATTGATTTATGATTCCGGCCAACAACAGGCGACCTGGTCAGGGGTAGCGTAGTAGTGGAACGTGCACTGCAGGGTTGCTGCACGTGAACAGAGAGGTCGTGCGTTACAAAGAACTGAACGGCGGCGGTTCGGGCGGGAGGGATTATTGTAATGGTCGTTGAACTTATTTTTACGATATCGTTCGTACGTCGACGATATTGTGATATAAATTCATGTCGAACAACAACGGACAGAAAAAAAACGGCCGTTTTGTTTTACTTCATCCTTCGACAGGCGGCGGCGTACAATTAACAAACACCCGTAACCCCCCAACTCCCCCGAAGAAAAACCACGACGGCGATATTTTTGCGAATTTTCAAACTGTCGGATAAACAGAAGTTTTACGGGGAAATACTCGTAATAAAAAAAAAAAAAAAAAAAACGATTGAACATTTTTTTTTTTCATTTCCGTATTTTTTTCTTTCTATATTAATTTTCGTTGGAAACTTTAATGTTATTATACTTTTTTTTTTTCATCGTCTTCAAACGTTTAATTGTAAAAAGTTTTTCAAAAACGGTAATTGTCCGCATTTTATACTAATTATTATATTATAATATATAAGCGGCGGCGGATTTTAAAGAGTATATAAAACCGAATAATTATTAAAGCTCGTAGGTAAATTATTATACTTTAATACAAGACCGCAAAAAACGATCGAGAAAAATTAAAATTAGTTTATAAATGAAATATGTATAAAGACGAAATTTATAATGAAAAATTACGGGAGATAGTTTCGTAATATAAAAATTAATCTGGCCGAGACGTTTCGTTTAAATTGAGAGGGGGAAAAGAGTATAAACTACTAATACGGATATTATTAAAACCCTTTAAAAAGAAAGAAAACTTTTAGTTTCGGTAAAGGAAAATATTATACGGACGATTTTCGGAACGGTGAAAGATGCCGCGGCGAGTGGAAAAAAACAAGGGAAAAAGATTGAAAACAAACACTCATCCGAAAATCCGAATGTAACGGCCACACCGATAGGAGTAATAGCAGTGGCGTAGTCAGCGGGTGTAGGCCCGGTATGCCTCCACACTTTTCTCCGAAAATTAACGCAAATTTGTATTGGTATAGTTTTTCCTATACAAACATTTATATTATTTTATCCGGAACTATCAAGAAAAATATGTCTAGCTATGCCTCTAATTAAAAGTGCTCGAAGGAAAAAGATATAGTAAAACGGGAGGGATGTATATAGGACGTAGTAATTATTGAAAGACGCGGAAGCCTTAAGCGATCAGACTGGAAAACGCGGATAGGGAAAACTGGAGGCGAGGTTGGATGACGGGTCGGTCCTATAGCGGGCGATTACCTAAATAGGAAGAAATATTATTAATTTAGCGACGGGCACTTCCGAATAGTTTGTACCATCAAGTTTTCGACAGTTTGGACATACTACAGAACGTTTCGGTCGGATATTTATTATCCGCGACCGAATAGTTTTTAAACTGTTGAAAATACGATCGACTATCGTGTATAACCGGGACAAAACAAAGTTTAACCGAATTTATTACAAGGACGTCGCGTCGTTTATAAATAAATAAAAAAGAAAACAAAATGAAATAAAAATAAATAGTTTCCGGGAAGGTGGACAAATATTTTACGATCCTAATACATTTATATATATATTTTTTTTAACGAACCGTATAATATTGCGTAATATTATTACGATAATATTGTATACAAACAAATAAAAAAAATACACACATTATATCTACCCGCCGTCGTAAAAGTTAAACGGTAAAAAAAGAAAAGAAATATTTATTTTGGAAAATCGATTTATTCCAGTGGTTCTCAACACTGGGTTCGGTCTTTATCAAGATAAAACTGACTGTCCTGCAACGAATAATAGTCGGGGGGAGGAGAAAACTTTATTAATACGTATGTACGGTGAAGTGGGAGTCAGGGTTCCTTAATTATTGAAATAAAAACTATTCGAACCTACCTCCGTCTTTGCCCTTCCGACCGAAATTTCCCTCGTGCCACCCCTGTTATATATAAGAACCACTGATTTATTTTATCCGACCGACGACGGAATCATTTAGAACTCGACGATAACTGGCTTTTATAACATTACGGAAATGTTAAGCGACGAGATTACATTAAAATGTTTTACAACGTAAACGGTAAAAAAAAAAAAAACAATAATAACAATAATGATTACTGCCAGTCAAGAATTAGGTTTCATTTCGTAAAACGAATTACATTATAATTCGCGCGGGCATAATGTTCGATAAAGAAACGACAAATCGGGTAAATAGGCGGCGTATTTTTAATTGCTATTATTATTATTTTTTTAATCTCTAAATTACAAGCCGCAGCATTATACGATAAGTATTAAAACTATGAACGTACTCGGTTCGTCCGAAAAACGATATTTCGAAAGTTATACACGACCGCCGGTTTTCGACAGTGGATCCGGGGTTGTGACCCCGGCAATCAGACCCGCCCTCAGGATTTGCGAGACCCAGAGCAAAATTTAAAAGTATTTTGATAAATATAATATAATTCGTATTGTTTTATTTTTAAACGCACGCGAGATCCCAAAACCGAGTAAAAAGCGCGAGGCCCCGAGCCCCCCCGCCGATAATAATATTATAATATTTCCCCGTCCAGTGGCGCCGAATCGTGTTTTAAGAAGGTGGACTGGTAAAAAAGGCGTATAGATCCCCACGACCGTTTACAAAACAAACTCCCACGCAACATTCTTAATTCGATAAAAAATATGGCTCAGTTACCAGGATCAAAGATCCACCACCGCCCACCCGTTAAAAGAAGGGCGGCAATCGCCACCCTTGACTGCTGGTTTCGGCGCCACTGACTGCCCCCGTCCACTTTCACGGACCCAACAACTACCGTCATTCTCCATAATAAAACTGCACGTACCTATAATGAAAACAGTATTATATTAAGCCTATCAACGCGATTTATTTTCATACGAGTAATATTATATAGCATTCCAGTGTCGTATATAATTATTCGATACGACGGCCGTCGTCGTCGTCGTCTATTATTATTGTACACAGACGAACGTTTAAATAGATAAGACCGGATGCCGGTATTACGGTTATCACGAATTATTGCGGACGCGACTCGGACATATCGGGCCGACAAACCGAGTCGGATGCCACTCGGGACGTGTCGCGCGAATACAATATTATAATATCGCGGACGCGATGTATTTTATTATTTTTTTCCCTCTGTTATGAACGCGATTCGGACGCAGCACAATAATCACCGAGAGACCGGATACAATATCACTAGGTGTAGTATGACATAAGAACGAGCGGCGAACCCGGCCGCTAATTGAACGGACCGCCATTTTGTATATGCACGCCGACAGTGCGGCCTACGGAAGCATACTGTATAATCGGTGTACATTATCGTTCAGCGATAACCGGACGGGCCGGTTCCGGTTCTTTCGGAACCGATAATTATTGTGTATAGGGTTATATAGAGCGATTGTTTATCGGATTTTTTTGTTTTTGTCCGCGATCACAACCGTTCGTTTCTTTTATCGAATATTACACAGGACGCGTCATTTCGATACGGTGTAACACCGCGATAGTTCACTACAACTGCAGACTGCACTAACGAGTGATAACGATTTATTTTTCTTATATTAATCGCGAACGGCGTGTTTGTGGGCTTCGCGTCTACGGATTTCGAGCAGATAACAAAATTAATATTGGTATACAAAATACAAATTACACTAGCTTTGTTTTATTCGCATTAAAAATAAAAGCCGGCATCGGTTTACCTATATAATACTGGTACAGAAAAATAAAAGAAGGATTTTTGGAACCTGACGGCAATATTATAGTTACGAGAATTTGAAAGAGCTAAAAAGAAAAAAAATGATTTTTCCAACTTGTTTTGACATATTTTCTACTTTGTAATTACATAAGCATTGAAAAAAACTTAGACCCCCCCTATGATTTTTAAATAATTTCGCCTTTATATCCTGTTATTCAATTCGAATGTGTTATCTTATTCACTTGTTGTGTCGACCGCATATTACTACGATGTAAAATAAGAGAGTTGAAAAATGCTCTTATCAGCTTTTCGCTCGACCTAACCATTAACCAATATGAGAAAACAGTTCCCCTATTGGTCAATTTCTATACAATTATGCACAATAGGTTCTTTAAACAATAATATGTATATAAAATGGCGGTCCAAGGGTATACGCAGATAACGACGGATCGACCAATCGGCATGCATTATGCGGTCGGCCACACTCTCTTATTGACACTGCTCCCAAACGCTCCGCATTGTCCCTTCTACCACACACCTTTCACCAACCTTCTAAATTCACAACGTTATACTCCATTCAAGTACACCGGCAACAGTGTCGGAAGTCAGATAGCTCAGTTGCTATAGAGAGACTATAGCCTGTAAGAGAGCACCAGGGATATTTCAGGGCGGGAAATTTTGTTTGGTTATAGTTAGGAGAATTTAACCAAAAAAAAAAAAATAATAATAATAATAATAATAAATATAGGTATATAATAGTAAAATACCTGAAACTTTCTAAACGCTATATTATATAATATTCAAAATAGTAGTCTGTCGTTTTTGAGTTACATTTTTTCGTTGATTTTAATAGTGAATATAGACATATTACCGGCTTCTTAAAAATGCCCGAAAATATATACATAAAGCTATGTTATTTTTATAATCGGATTATCCTTTAAGTACTAATTATCAGTTGGACCCTGTAGGTACATTTTAACCCGGGTCACCGCGATTCATTCGGGAATCCTATCGGGCCAGTCCGCTCCTGGCTATAGCTCATTAGGCTCCTGTTTTTCCTAGACGAATGCCGTAATATTAATCGACACAACCTAACTTCGAGTAGACTACGGACTTCCTAATGAGAAGTTAGGTTAAAAGTATTTTGGTGTTTTTTGAATTTATAAAGAAGTATATATATCGATAATTTCAAGTCCAATAAACAAAAATACTTTTATCATTATCAATATAGACAATAAGAATATGATTTATATGTTTTACAATTAGGTATTATATTTTTTTGTAATTAATCGTTATTTATCATTAAGTTAAAATGACAAAAACTTGCGAGTAAAAATTGTCATCCAATTATTTATTATTATTTTTTAAACATAATAAAAAAATCAATAGATTTACGGCCCTAAACAGGTAGATTTAATTAATTAAATTTTAATTAACAGTTTTGAATGTTATAACATCATCGTACGGTTTTTACTAACACAGTGTTGCCACTGCAGCGGAATTTGTGGTCGTCGAATACGGGAGCCGTTCGGGCTGCACACCGAACAGAGAAATCGCCGGGCAGCGTATGTGAACGTTTCCTACACGAAAACGGCTACAGACACGAACGGGATCGTCCGACGGGGGCTCTTTGATTGACAAGTTTATCATATCGACAACAATGATGATATTTATAAGCAGTGGTACAATTTTAATAAGCGTTTTTTTACACTGCCGGTTCGAGCCGGACGGTGCTCCGAGGAAGTTTTGTATAATTATACTGTCCCGAGTGTACGTCTAAAACCTAACCAATAGGAGAGAAAAAAACCGGGGGTGGAGGGGTTTAGATAAAACGACGGAGGGCGGAGAGAACGGGCGAAAAAACCATTCGGTCTACGGTGTCCGACATTATCGATCGACACCGCCAGAACCGTACGATAAGATATATCCATGTACTTTAAACGGACATCGTTATCCGCGTGTCCGGCCCACCGGAATGGATGCCATTTGCGTCCGCAGCCCGTTTCGAGTAGACAACGTTAGCACGTCGCCTTGTATGCACTCGAATCAATACACGCGCATTTTGAAAACACACGGATACAGTAATGCAAGTCGGACGGACGGACGAATAAAAGAAAAAAAAAAGAAAAAAAAAAAGGAGGCAAAATTGCATTAGACGAAAAATATGACGATGATTGACTACTGGAGCCCCTTTCTGCGTTGGAACCTAAGCAGATTATAACATAGTATATAATATGGGGCCCCCTAAAGTCGCCTGAAAGGACAGAGTCTGTCGGCGGCGTCGCTCTGTATAAACAGTTCTAAAAACGTTCGACACCATCATCGTCATTATGAACGCGCGGTCAATAAACCATATTATATTAACACGCGATATTGTGTTGTTTTTTTTTTTCCCCCCTAGGTTTTTACGCCGTTGATATTTTAATTTTTCATTGTGACACAATGAAGTAAAATGCGCGTGCTCGCGTGCATATACAGTACATAATGATTTATCCCCCACCGCTCCTCCACCCCGGCCATATCCAATCGATAAGATAAAAAACGTTGTTAAAATTCTCAAGGTTGGACCTCGTACCGTTGACAACCGAGTGAAAATAACGTCCATCGGATCCAGCCGCGGCGGCGCCCCGTTCGGTTTGTCCGGTCGGAATTCCTCGCAACGGTCAAAATTCGTTCCCGGCAATCGGGTGCCGCCCGCTCCAAGTATATTATAATCGATAACATCACAGGATCAAAATATTTCGGCAACATCCAACGACGACTATAGCAGCTGCGCAGTCGAATTTTCCCGAAAGCGGAATGTAACAATGTAAACGCATAGCATCGTGGAGCGGCGTTAAAATCGAGGAAGTGTATATTGATTTTTCGCTCTGTATTTTTCGTTCGAGCTCATTTTGGCGAGGGCGGGGGCGACGGGGCGGCGGCAATGGAGCTCCCGACTGCATTATAATACATATTATATATATATATATAATATATATATATATGTGTGTGTGTGTGTGTGTGTGTGTGTGTGTATATATATATATAAATGTACATAGTCCCCACCCCGCCACTTGAAAAATCCGGGACACCATACAGGACCGTGCCTCGTCCTGTGCACGGTACACTATCGGTAGCGGCGGCGGTGATGGCGGCGGCGGTGGTAGCGGCGGCGGTGGTGGTGGTGGCGGCGGCGGCGGTGGTGGTGGTGTCGGCGGCGGCGGCGGTGGTGGCGTCGTGTTTCGCTGAAACGCTAGAATTCCCGTCGTACACACGCGCGCCACGCGCGATTTTAAAATACACGTTTTCTACGGTCGACGAAAATCGTGTCGCAAACGGTAAAACGATATTCGTGTTGTAAGGTACGTTATTTCGGTCGGTGTATTTGTGCGTACGTGTGTGTGCGCAGTACACAACGCGATCTACACCGAAACGGGCGATCGACCGGTAACCCCGCGAAATCGAAAAACATAATATTATTATTATTTCTTGTAATCGTACTCGATTCGTCCGTCCGAACGGGACGGACGGTGTACTGCGACGACACCGATATCCGGCGCCGTGGTTTCCACAACGCGGACTCGCGAAAACGGCGTTTTCAATCGAAACCGGTTCGAAGGAAAACTATAATACATGCGTAGTAACTTTAATAGACGCGCGGTAGTTGTGCGATAACATTACGCGCGTCCGGGTAGATCGCGTACTGCGGCGGCTCAACGACGAGATGCCACCCCACCCCGTCGGGGCCAACGAGGGCACCCGGGGAACAGTTTTCCCCGTAGCCCCGGGGATAGTAGTTTGCGAAATGCTATTGGAATAGTTCGACAGTTCGATTGTGTCCGTCACACGATATCCGTTGCGAAACAAACGGCGAAAACGACGACCGACAACGCGGTTATTATTATTATTATTATTACGGCGAACCCGCAGTAATAATAATAATAAGAATATCCGAGACGTTTCGCGAACCGTTATTTCTGTCGGTGACGGGGCGCCCACCTCCGGATGGTTTTATACTGCCGGCGACGGTGTTTCCGATAGTTTGCGACGAGCGTTCGTTCATTTGCGTGGCCGTCGCAACAGCCGTTCAGAACAGTTCGATTGTGCCCCCCGGGTCATTGAATTTTTCGCGGGGACTTGTAAAAAAAAAAAAAAACGACGGCCGACCACGCGGTCATTATTATTACCACGTACCGGCCTGCCCGCGCCTACAACGATTAATATCCGAGAAGTTTTGCAGATAGCCAACGAAACAATAATAATCTCGAAAACATAACACGTCGTGATCGTCGGATTACCGGTATAACACGGGTGTTGCGAACGTAAAACGAGAACGGGAGATTGGACGCGAGAAAAGAGATAATAATTATAATATATGTATTTGTAATGATTTTCAGATGATGAATATTGCGCATTATGCACGATTGGGAGGGGGAGGGGTGAAACAGAAAACGTCTGCGCGCGCGCCGTTATCTCTCCGCAGTCGAGTACGGCGTAGAAAAAAGCGGAAAAAAAACAACGAATTTAACACGCGGGCGAAAAATTGTTATAGTAAAAAAAAAAATAAATATTATTTCAACGTTCGGAGAATAGAAAAAAAAAAAAAACCTTTCAATAATATTATGTAGGCGGCGATATCGCGCGCGCCGCCGCCTACTCGAAGGTCTAATACGGTTTAATTTTTTTTTTTTTTTTTTTTTGTTCTGTTAGTCGTCGTCGTCGTCGTTCGGTTTTTTTCGAAACAATTTTCACGCGTACGGATTCGCGCGGATATTTCGCCGTAGGCAGGCGTGTTCGGCGTTTGTGCACCGCGCACCGGTGTTAGGCAGGTATAAAATATCGGCTGTGTGACGTGTAAAAACGATAATTAGTGTGCGTTACGCCCGTATACAATGCCGCAGCGTAATATTCTCGCACGCGCAGACACCGTGTCGGCTGCGGCGGCGATTGTATGGTGGCCCGTACCGCCGCCGCCACGAAATATTTACGAACATAATGACGTTATGCCCATCCCAACGAGTCCGTTGACGTTACACAATATCGATTCACTAACCGGCGACGACGACGACGACGATAACACGATTCTGAAAACTCGAATATCATCTCTCTCGGCGACGAGACTAACCGCGCGGCTCCTCGGAAACGCGAGTTCGCGGCGGCGGCGGCGGGATTCTCTAACCGTTCAAACGATAATGTTCCGACGAGTACCTATCGTCGTCGTCATTATTATTATTATTATTGTTCTAATAACCTCGCCTTCCGAAATTCCGGACGCCAACGCGACGCGTCTTCCCGCACTGCAGTATACGCGAAATAATAATAATACTTAGAACGCGTTGCGCGGGAACAAACGATTTCGCACGCGAATGAGAGGGGCAGGGGAGTCGGGCCCGGAAAAAACGGTATTCGGGAATGGTATTCGCGCGGGAGGTTCCCGGTTACAAAGCCCCTCCAGACTTCTCGCGAGAACAAACAATATAATATCCACACTCGATATATTCTCGGCTTCACTGCTTCACTTCACCCGTGTTCTACGTTCCTATCCGGCATGGACGACATTCAAACTGCAGCAGGTCCGAGACAAAACGTGAATGCAGTAAGTCCTTTGTAATAACCCTTTGTCTCGGGCAAAAAATACCGACGATGAACGTCAAGAACGGGCGAGAGAGAGAGAACGAGACGGAAAGAAACTATTCGCATTCACGTTTCTCGGGTGTTCTCGGGGCATCTCGGCGTGAGTCTGGGTGCGCCTCAACGGTTACGGCCCCGCTCGCCGACTCGTGCAGTGCGAACAAACACTCTCGTGTCGGACCCGTATACGAAACGCGTCGGGTCGGTAACCGAGGTGGGAGGGGGAGAAGTGCGACATGAAATCGTGTCTACGAAGGAAAAAAAATATTTTAGAAACCCGCGAATTACAATATTTTCCCGAATATTACGGTCACCGCATAGTGTGTACCTGCAATTAATTTCTCGCGTTTTATGCGTCGCCCGCCAACGGTTTTCCTGTATTATACCGTAGGCCTCGTTTCCGGCACGAATTTAAATCACGCGAACGAGAACTGATAAGAAAAAATATCGTTCCGAAAATTCGGTACGATAATTTATTGAACGCCGGGGTAGCATTAGGGTTAGTTGGCGACGTTGCCGATTTCGGAACGAGATCCGACGATAAAATATTATCATCAAACTGTTGAGTGCGGCGTGTATACACAATCGTTTTGTCGATTGAACGCAACGATATATTGGTAACGATTTCGATTCGGGCCGCAGTGTCGTGGTAGAGAGGGAGGGGGGAAGGGGCACGGAGGCACGCCCCGCCCTCGAAATCTGTTTTGTACAGCTCATTTTATTCGGGTTAGGTAATATAATAAAAACGATTGGTCCCCACCCCAAATTTTTTCCCGGCTACGGCACTGGAAATCACAGAACGGGGACTCGCGGACAGCGGAGGTAAATCAGGAAAATCCACGGCTTAATATTGTCGCGCTACAGCGTTTCTACGAACGGTTCGACTGGAACTCTTTTCACGCGAACATCGGTGTACGATTCGATACCCGGTCATGATAACATATACATTATTGATAAGATTTCTATGTTACACGATTGGCCGTCGACGTTTCGTTACTGGTAAATAGTGCGGAAAACCGTTCATGTTCTATTAACGAAACCTATTATACTCGCTGGCGCGATTCGTTTGGCTACAGTTTAATTTTTGTAATTCGCGCGGACCTATAGAAACTATACACGGTATACAATCTACCGTGTTGGTGACGAAAACCCAATAACGACGATATCGTGTGAAAATAGCGTAAATCAGGGGCGCCATTTTTAGAGGGGGGGGGGCAGGATGCTTACATACAGTTTGTATCCATAAAGCGCCTAGGTGTTAGTCGACACTCTGGCCGGCGGGCGTAAAAGTTCAATTTTTTTAACGATATTTATTTTATTCTTAATTTTTATGCCGTGTACAAAATTTCTCCTAGACATCTTGCTTCGATCAAAGCACATGACAAGAGACCTTTTTTTTTATTGCATTTTTGCTGTAGTCGGTACTTCAGAAAAGTCATTATTCAAAATATTTACATTAATATTCGAGATGAGGAAAAACCGGTTCTTTGAGTTAAAAAAAAAAGATTGAAAATAAGATTACCATTGGCAACCGTTTTTATTTATTTCTCGTTATTATTAAGTTTTTATTATTTTAATATTTTAATAAAACGCTAATTTTGTTGAAAAAATCAATACTGTAGAGTTCCGCAATAGTTTCGCCTACACAACAGTGGGCCACCCGTGGTACGAAATATGTCGAGTCCTTTTATTTTTTATTATTTGAATTTACTGCAAACTGTTTTAAACAATAATTGACATGTCGGCGAGGGGAGCAGAAGGACTGGCCTCACAAACTCTTTGCACCCCCCGGCCAAAACCATTAACTTACTGCAGCATAGTGCGTCTGAAAAAATAGTTTTGAAAAGTATCGACGGGAAGGTATTAGCCATCGCATAGCCACGCCAATATTATAGTTCCGATGAGATACATTTTCAAAAAAATTAAACGAACAAATACATTCGACTGAGTGGAAAACCGTGGTCCGAGGACGGTTGTTGATTACCACAACCTAGGTATATTTTTTATTAAAGTTTGAAATTTAAACGGGATAATCGCCGGTAAACACGGTTTAAATAAACGACATTCGGAATTAAAACGTAATAAGCGCTTAGGTGCCTATACGAGTTAATACTTACGTTACATTTCTTGGCTTTAAGTTTTTGCGCGATTCTTGGTAAAATCGTCAAATTTACCCTAGTTTATAAACACGTGTTCAATATTTGGTCTCCGGGTTACCCGCACGCGCGAATCGTACGTAAACGCGTTTGCCGTTGTAACCTGAAAAAACCAACAAATACCGTGTACCTATGTAAAGTGGAAAACTAAAAGTCCCCATCTCCCGGGCCCCGTCGAAATAAAACAAGCGATTCTTCAACTTTATTATTGACATATAACAATCAATATGATATAAGTATAGATGCATATTTAATATTGTAATAATTATTACCGATTCATTTAGCGGCGCGGGCGAACTATTAATTTTACGGAAAAAAAGGGGGGAAGTTAGTGGTTTCCCGGTTAATTTACGGGACAATAAAAAAGTTTTCGTTGTTGTCGACACGTCGTATAAAATGCGTCTGGCGGAAAAGGTGCGAAAACACGTATAGCAGGCGCTTGTTAAAGTTATTTATCGAATTTCTCGGGTTCAATGTACCGAATATCGAGAAAATCCGCCGCGGTAAACAATACAACATAAAGGAAACATTTACCTTTGTAAAACTTTTAACTCCATACAGAATCGTGTTATTTGCACGAGAATCTGTATAATAATCGTCTTACTACAGCGATTGCGGCGGGCTATTAATACAAAATAAAAAACAAATTGTTATCGCATCATCTTGATTTTTGTTTTTCTTCGCGAAAATCGTATACAATTTATATAATAAACGTGTTTTATACCTACAGAGGCAATACCGGCCAAAATAAATAAAAACATTTTGTCAACATTCGATTCGACTAATTAGCTGGTATATAAATACGAACGGATTTAATAATTTATTTGTGTTAGTTTATTTCGAAGTTTGTTTCGTATTTGTCAATAATATTATAAAATTAAATCATAAAAAAAAAATTACAACCACTATGTGTATACTGTACACTGTGTTACATAAATATTACAGAACACTTGCGCTAACCCGAACGATTTTTACGTTTTTTTCGAAACCGTGTAATATAATAAATAATATTGCAGCGGATAGACTGAACGATGTAAAGTCAAGCTTCATGTTGAGCACTAGTAGTTAAACCTGCCTATAAAAAAGGTAACAAATAACGTGAACGATTGAATAACAATTAGGGAAAATAAAAGAAATACAATTCAATACTTAATAACGAAAATTCTTATGTATTATAGAGAGTGACCTCTTATCAATACATACGGACCGCGCTATATTGTGTAAATTGTCGATCAAACATCGTTATCAGGTTGGTCCAAATTCTAATCATCAGTAACAACAACGTTGCACGGAGCCAGGCTATAGTTTTGAAACTGCGAGCTATTGAGATAGACGACTTGCAGGGTAATTTAGATATTGACCTACCTAAACATTATAAATTGTCGGTTTGCAAATATTTAATTCGTACCCGGCGATAATAATCAATTTTTAATGCATAATTAAATGTCGAATAGTTAGGTCACAAACACAATTCGATCAACAAAATAATGGCCATTCGGTAAACGTGATTAATGTTTATACATTAAAGATTACCTGCAAGCTGCAATCTACTCGGTCTGCGTATATATGTTTTTGCTTTGTTACCGATTAGTTGGACCGAAACAGTAAATTCGGACGTCAAGTCTTCTTAACTAATAGCTAATATGTACACATAGACAACTTGCGGAAGTTCTGAAAACGTATTCAAATAATAAAAAAGGAATGCAATTAAGAGGTCACGAGTCGTGATAGTTTGAAGAAAACAAAGGCAATAGTTAATTTCATGAATACCATAACGTATATAGTTTGAAAACTTTTAGAAAAACATTGATATATTAATTGATAATATTGTTTGAACGAAACGTTATCACAGATAACGGGGCTCAATCAGAAATGACGACAACGGTGGCCACTCTTTTATTACGGGCTCCCTATACATAATATACTGATTATTACTTAAAAAATGCACGTTAATGAATTCATAACTTAGGTATCTGAACGGAACAAAATAAAATGCTCTTTTAATAATTCAACTATGTTTGTTATTATATAATTTTGTTTCGTATTTACAATAACTTAACATTAAGTAGTTTAAATGTGCATTATTTACTTTCCCAGCCTTGAGTAAATAATACTTACATATAGTAAAGTATTATTAGTATTTTTACCTAACGATTATGACAGAATGGTTCTTTAAATAACATTATAAAACACACACAAATGTTCGAGTAGATTTATACATAAGCCATTGTTTATTTTAAAACGCATTGTTATAAATATTTTAACTACAATTAAATTTAGCGAATATAAGTGCATAAAAGTACTGTTAAAATAAATAGTAGCAAGTATAGGAAAACGAAACAACTAAAACTTATCGTACGCGATTTAAATACATGTTATCTATACGGGGGGGAGGGGGTAATCAAAGTCTTGAACGGAAAACTTTGAACCATCAAATTCTTGAAAAAAATTCCGGCAAAACCTTGAATGACAAAACCTTGAATGGCAAAATCTTGAACCGACTAATTTTTATCCTTTATAAAATAATCTAATAGGTATTGCCGATTCAAGAGTTTACCGTTCAAGATTTTGCTGTTTAACATTTTACCGGAATTTTTTTTTTCAAGGTTTTGTCGTTCAAATGTTTGCCGAAATTATTTAATCATGATTTTGCCTGAATTATTTATTAAAGATTTTGCCGTTCAAGGTGATGCCATTCAAGATTTTGACGTAGATCCTTCTGGTATCTATACCAGAGAGGATTGTTAATAAATTATGTTTGTCTAATGTATCAATATCAATTACAATTATGATTATCTCGGAGGGTGCACAAGCAGGAACCGGTAAACACTAGTTGGGTACACTAACATACCAAAATATACCCTTTACGTTTCTCTTGTAATAATAAGCACAACTCGAAATAGTAACGATAATTTACCAATAATTACGATTGTGCAGTTAATAATATTAACACAGTGGTAAATTTATACAGTTGGTAACATAAAATCTACTAATAATCGTAGACTGCATACAATACTAGCCGGGCAATTCGGTATATGATAACGTTTGCCAGTAGCCCGAGGACCGGACGGAAGAGTAAACTAGATGCGAGCGTTTTAATTGGCTGCTGTTCTCTCTCACGCTTCAGTTTATCTCACTCGATCCGTTTGGCACGACCACGCCTCCCAGCAGTCCTCGGGCTCAATGTCCCGGGTCCCGGGTAGGTAAATATTATAATATGACGTGTAAGTCTATGATAGTAATATCTGTATTTTTAAACGTATTCAAATGTTACAGGGGAATCGTAAATTTAGTCTTACAAAGAGATGTTATTTCATTTTGTTTAACTAATGCTGTGTGACAAACGGATTCTAATGTCATAATATATACGTATACATAATATAGCTATATTATTACGGGTCAAAGGTAACCCCACGTAGGGAACATTACAAATAATTATTGTAAATAAAAAAAAAAATTGTCATGCTATTTTAACTGTAAAGACTTACATTCTGAAAAACAAGTTGATCTTGCTATTCAAAATCCAAGTTTTGGCAAAATTCAACAACAGTGTATAGGTAATTAAAAACTGATTACGAGTTCAGTTCTGCAACAAATCATTAAATTAATTATTTATAAAACGCCAGGCAAAAATATAATGTTTAAGTTAAAAAAAGTAAAAATACACAATACAACTCATTAATTTATTACCTAATGAAAAAAGCATGTAATAAAATGATGAACAATTGAAATAAATAATCTGTTAATACCTTTCACAATCTTGAACTATGGGTACTTATCAGTTTTTTATCTTTTAAATAAATATTAATAGTGAATTTAAATATTTTACACATTTGTTAATATACAGCGTGGGTTTTACCATAATTTCCCCTAAAAAACGAATAGGTTCAGGAAAGTCGAACAACTTTTCATAATGGTACTGTATAATTTTAAACCTAACCTGTCCTGTTAGGTGTTTCTACTCGCACAGGTAAACGTACCGGCACAGGTCCTCACAGTTATCCGTTTTAAATAGTTGTGATCTCGGTTATAATATTATATTATATACGAAGATAATTTTAACAAAGTACTTATTAAATATCCTAAAAGTGGACCAGGTTAGGCTAGGTATGGTAATAAGATCATTCTTACTGGTTTTCGATCGTTTACAACGAATTTGAAGAAGACAATTGAACCACTCATTTAAAAATTATTTTTTCAAACAGTCGATGTACCTAGTCCAAAAACCTTCAAGTTCCATATCATTTGAAGCATGAAACAGACTTTCTACAACTTGACATTAATATATTCATTAATGTTTGAAAGTTTTTGTAATTCTTTCATTCTTTTTTTTTCCTACCTACGATTTCAATAGTTTGATTGTAAATATTTTGCATTGCAATTGGATATTTAAACATACACTTCGTTATAATTTAAATATTTATTACCTCGTTTATTATCAAAGCAATAGATACGATTTTAATATTAGATGAACTGTAACAAATTTATTATGCATATCTCAAAATCGATTACAAGTAGGTATAGATAAGTAAAGTAGGCAATATAAGTCAATTTATGAGTATTGAAGATTGTTTAGACTAAATTACCTACCTATATTATTTCTGTCCTTTTAAGTTTAATATTTGTTTAGGATTGTAATAAGAAATTATTATTTCAGTCATAAAAACATATGTCATGTTCTAATTTAAGGTTAAAAAAAAAAAAAGACACACGATTGTCTAACCAATTAAGAATTTAATCTAATCATCACGTCATAACCGAGTCCCTCCATGGTCATAGGAAATGTTTCGTAAGATAAATGAAAAAAAAAATACCTACACATTGTGTGGGATTTGAACCCACGACCCCATAGACTGACGCGTAACCGCTGAACTATTCGTATCACAGTTCTATCATTTAACTTGGCGGTTGTGCCCGTTGTACGACCGAGGAAAAAACGCAATCATGTCAATAGTTAAAAGTAACCAACAGCCGGTTCAAACAGTGGTCAATGTATTGATAAAATAAAACAAAATCAAGAAAATACGAAATGGTTATGTCCAGGCGCGTCCCTGAGGGGGGAGGGAGTAGGCAATCCTGCCAATATAAAATCCACCTATATCACCAATCCCGCCGTATGATATTCTACTAGTTATCTATTATTATTATCTATGTAATCCGCAAGTCTTAAAAAAAAAAAAAAAAAATTCTTATCAAATATTATAATATCCGCCCACCGTGGAATTAACGCGATGACGCCACTGGTATAGGTCTAGACCGTCTAGTTGAATCCTCGTTTTCAAGAATACATTTCAACAATGTCACTCTTTTAGAAAAAATCAAGTACCTATCTACTTCAACAAGTTTAACGTGTGGTACTCGTAAAAAACAGGACATCAGTTCAACGACTGACAGCGAGAAGCAGAATAAAGTGGTTGACAAACAAAGTGAAGCGAATGCCTATCTAGTCTCAGTACCATACTTACAACGTAATTGCCAGTTGGGACGGTTCTTCTTCGCCGTTTTACGTATAACTCTTTAAGAATTACAAATGGATAAAACCGATTAAATAAATATATTGAATGGCGAGCGTTACCCTAGCAAAATAAAATATTTCATACTACCGGAAAAGCTACTAATTGTACAGCTTTTGTTTGATTTTCTCGTAAAGTATTATTATCATTTGTCAGATGCATAGAACACCTATGGGTGTTATTTATTACCTAGTTGCTTTTTATATTAAGCAATTAAGTTCTATTCACGTTTATATTATTACACAAGTTCTCCAATAGGTATGTTTAAACCGGTTTTAACACTGAATAATAGTACAAAAAGTCACCACGAAAACAAATCGGTAGATTGGTACTTGCGGGGGTACTTGCATACAACTACCTTGTCGATTATTATTAACTACGCGTGTTTTTCATAGATTTAAGATTCTTTGCGGAGCAGGGAAGATGTTTTTAAAAAATTGTGTTTTAGAAACCCTTTATTTTGTTACTTAATGTACTAATACAGCGAATTTTTATAAAACTTCAGTTCTGGATGCAATCGAACACTTAATGTTTCAATGTTCCGAAAACCGTGGTGCATACGCGCACTTGTGAAGTCGGCATCACAAGTAGAATAATTACTGTTATGGTGTTAACGAAAAAGTGATTTATAACCAACGGTTTAAAATGTGTTTATTATCAAACGAAATGTTAAAAAAAACATATATATTTATGAAGCACAACTCTGGGCATAACACGTCCCATTAAATACATTTGATTGCGGTTACAATCCAGACTCCAAACTACACGCCTAAAGAACTAACGAGCATTTGACAAATGAACATTAAACAAGTATCAAAACGTTTACACTGTACTCGAGATTATTTTTTCAAAAACATAATAGACACGCAATGTATAACGGAATGTGTTCGCCGCGATATGAACCAGTGGCGTACCTAAGGGAACCAGATGGGCCCAGCCACCTCCCCCCCCCAACGCTCCGATTTATTATATATTCGTATTGCACGTACCCAGGCGGTGTATGCACACGACTTTCATAATATAATTTATGATTTTTATCCAGTGGACCCACTCGGGAGATTTCCGGCTACGCTACTGGTGTAAACCTACGGATTTGTTGGATTGCGTCGGCGTGCGCTGAGCATTATTCCTCAAATATTAAAGAAATTTGTTTCCCAATTGAACATAGGTACCAACAAATCCAGAGACGAATCAATATGAATTCAGAAAACAATATTATTTTACACGGGTGAACGGATTACCCACACGTACCATATTTTAAGTGGGTATAGGTGCCTACCTAATCGTAAGTTTTAATTGCGCGGTCATTAGTATTAGGTTTCCGTAGCCACAATACGTACGGAACTGTTATAATGTCCTTTTGATTTTGATTCGAATTTAAGAGGAACGAGTTTCTGGGTGAACCGCCGTTCTATCTAAACGTGTGCGTTGAACACATTTGAAAATAGTTTTCTACGCATTAAACAAAGGGGGTTTTCGCGCGACCCGGGGCGGGCATCTTCGAAACGAAACGTACGGCCTCCGGGCCCTTTTAACTTTCCCAACAGGCTTCTCGGCCGCGTCGTTACAAATCTGGAACAAATTCGAGAAATCGGCGCCACCGACGAAAGCTATTTCGAACAAAATATGTCGACTATAGTTATACGACGTTGGTCAACGTCTAGTTTTGTCATTGAACGAAATACATTGATATCGAGTCCTACGCAATATCATAGCGGAACCCCGAAATCGATGCATTCGGCCGGTTTCGTTTTCGATTCGCAATCATAATATCTGCACTCGGAGTCTGTATACGACGGCCCCGGGGCACGACGGCTTTACACAAAACCCTTTCACCCTAACCGCGCGGCCGACGCCGCCAAAGACACGTGCATACTTTCGACGTTTTCTGAAAGTACAATTCCGGCGTATAGCTACGGCATAAAACGGCACGTAAAAAAAAAAAAAAATAAAAAAAT